ACAGTTTCTCTTCAGAGGTCTGGGTTCTAGTGTTGTATGGCTACTCCAATAACCTCTTTCTTCATCATTTTCCCCATCCCTCAGAGCATTTAGCTGTTTGTTACCATTACTACTTGGTGTCACCTTATTTTCCAATTTGCCCTGTCTTAAAATAATGTCCCTATATCAAATTCTCTCTGTTAAAACAGCTGGTGTGGTTTGTTTTACTGATTGGGCCCTGCTGGATAAAATACACAGAACCAAGCATTCTCTCTGGTTTACCTGTATCTAAGGCATCTAAAGACCTCGTTATTTCCAGTTTCTGACTCCATTCAGGAAAATACCAACTAGTGTGATGTCAAGATGATAATGATATGGCAGAGAGAAAATCTAAAATGGTCTCAAAAGCAAAGTGTTTTTGGTGATCTTTGAAAATGGTACTATGGTCAATAGTTGTATCATTCCACTTGCCAGGTGCTGTGCTGATTTTTTTCAAAGAAAAAATCCACATCAGAATAGCGGGTATAGTAAAAGTCATCAGTTATTTACAACCAGTCTCCAAGATCCATCTACTTTTTGCAGAGACCAAACTGGTAAGTTAAATGGGAGGTATAATTGGTATCATTGCTCTTACAATCTGCTATACTTGAGACTAACATCAAGCTATTCTCTCCCTATTCCACCCAAAAGGAATTTCTAAAGACTGAGGAAATTAATCACCCTATTTTCATAAAGCACAACCTCTTCTGACTATGGTTATTTCTGTGATCAAAAACAGTTTCAATAATTTGATAGGCTTGTGGAATAAATTCAAACACCTTAGTCTGATAATTAAAACCTTTCAAGATTTGGCCTATTGAAGCATTACAGCCAGTACCCTCCATTCTTGCACCCCATGCAGCGGCCAAAACAAAGAATTGGAACTAATGGACACATACCCCATAAAGATGGTTTACCCAGTCTGAAATCTTTCCTCCCATGTTTATATCAAACTTCTATCTACTTCTCAAAGACTTTCTTAAAAGCTACCTTTTCCACAAAGTTTAATCCTATATCACCCACTCCAATGCCACACACCAGTTATATATTCTTACCTTATAATCAGTTCAGTATAACTGGCTCTAGTATCCATGTACTCTGAATGACAAAGATTATGTCTGACTCATTTTGGTATCCTAATACTTATGAATAGGAGATTTTTAGTTATTATTTTTTTCAAAATGAAGGAATGAATGAAAGGCCCTAAGTGGAATGAGGACATTCAAGTGGAGATATTGTTTTGAAAGTACAAGATATTTTTTTGAGAAGCAGCATAGTTTGGCTGTGGTCTATGATCTGTGCAGAAGATTTGTGGGCAATCCATCTAGAAAGTTACATTAGGATCCGAATGTAGAGAATCTGCAGAGTTAGGCTAAGGAAGAGAACTTATTTTGTTAGGCCGTATGGAGGAATGGAAGGTTCAGGATTAGGTAAGAATCTGTATGTTACAGATCCTCATGCTATGATATAGAGTTTTCTTTTTCTTTAATATTCTTTTAGTTGTAGATAGACACAATAACTTTATTTTATTTGTTTATTTTTATATGGTGCCAGGGATCCAACTCAGTGCCTCACACATGCTACGCAAGTGCTCTATCACTGAGCCACAACTCCAGCCCCTAGAGTTTTCTTAACTGGTTTAAAGAAGCAAAATATCTAAGATAAAGGGAAACACCTAAGCTGAAGCAAGAGATCTAATTTGGAGGGATGGGATCATTCATAAACAGACGTTCATAAAACAGAGGTTGCAAAACTAAGAAAAGCTTTTTTTTAAAAATGTGTGTATGTGTGTCAGCTTTTTTTTTTTTAGCTGTCAATGGACCTTTATTTTATTTATTTATATGTGGTGCTGAGAGTTGAACCCAGGGCCTCACACATGCTAGACAAGTGCTCTACCACTGAGCCACAACCCCAGTCCTAGGAAGAACTTTTACAAAAAAAAGTAAGGTTTATCTAGGATGCTGTGGGTATGTATAATTCTTTTATAGCAAAGAATAGGCTTGACCGGCATCTCTCAATCCCAACCCTATTGTAAACTAATAGAATACTGACGATCTCTAATATGAACCCATGGAGAAAGGGAAAGATGGGAAAGGATAATAAATGAAAATAGAGCTGTGAGTGGGAAAGAGAATGAGGTAGTGAGAATATTCCAGAGCTTGAAAAATACTATTGAATGTGCCTCCTGCCAGCTTTGGTCTTTGATCTTTTTTCCTGGCTCAGAATTCCATTCTCAGTCTTCTAATTCCTTGGGTTTTTCTTAGAAGTTGCTTTCTCATTAGATACATTTTTTTCTTGATAGAAAATGGAAGAATCATTGCTTATTGCTTTGGACTATGAATAAGAGGTCTGGGTCCTAGTTTGAGAGATTTCCTCCACTTACTTCCCAATCAGGCTATTGGAATGTCCCCTGTCCTTCAAATGTATCTCCTTGGAAAGAAAAAAAGTGTGATTTGACATCAGTCTTCTATTTTAAAATCCCTGGTTGCCACAGTATGACAAGTTAAAAACTATTCTCAGGCTTTGAAATGACAAAGAACTCCTGATATTCTTTCCTGGCTAATTTTATCAAATTTGTCAAAGAATATAATGATAAAAACAATACATTGGAACAAGTTTGCTGTTAATCCTGATAAGAATTTAGGCCTCAGTGTTCCTCTGGAAACTAATCAACTTTTGCCACAGGGTCTCTATCTCATGCCACGTATCTTCATCCTCTCTCCTAGAGACCATAAGACACTTAGTCTTTGGATGGCTCTGATGAGGCTTGGAGAGATTCCATTCAGAAGGGGATGAAGGTGAACTGCTATGACAAACTGATTCCACACTCTGAAATGGGAATCTATGCCATGACAATGTGCTTGGAGGCAAAGTGTCCAATACTGTAACAACTTCTAATCACCTTAGATTAGATTCTCTATGGTCTCCTAGATTTTGCTATTTAAAATTTAAAAAGTTCTGAACTAAGTATTTTCTGATTGAACTTAACTTCTTCTGAAGACATATACTCAACAATAGATACTGGTGATATAAATTTCATCATAAAAACTGAAATACCCATGGCAATGTGTTTGTGTGTGTCTTTAACTTTCTATTTGGAAATAATTTTAGACTTACAGAAAAGGTTATAAAAGAATAGACAGCTTCCTATATACTTTTCCTAATGTTAATGACTTATATGGGCATAGTATATTTATTGAAACCAGGAAATTAACATTGAAAAATACTGTCCACACTAATCTGAATAGTATCAACTAATATAAACTGTCTTTGAATTTTGCCATTTTTTTCCATACTGATGTCCTTTTTGTCCTCAAAGGATCCAATCCAGGACTACATATTACATTTAGTTGTCAAATCTCCTTAGTCTCCTTCAATTTTTGATAGTTCCCCAGTCTTTGTCTTTTGTGACCTTGATGTTTTTGAAGAGTACTGGTCAGTTATTTTATAGAATATCATTTGATTTGGGTTTTTCAAACATTTTTCTCCTGATTAAAGTGACTTTTTTTTTTTGGCAAAATTCCCACAAAAGTGTCCTCTCAATGCATCAGATCAGGAGGTGCATACATAAGTGTGACCTATTACTGATGATGTTAACTTTGACCTTTGGTGAAGATAGTGTCTTTCAAGTTTCTGCAGCTCAAGTTACTATTTTCTCTTTGTAACCAACGATTATATTATGAAGAAAAACACTGCCACTATGCAAATGTCCCAATTCTCAGCATACTTTCACCCACCTAACTTTAGCATTCATTGATGACTATTGCCTACAAAAATTATTACTGTGGTATTTGGCTAATGGTGATCTTTTCCCCATCATTACTTCTACATTTATTAATTAGTATTCTGAAATGAAGAGAGCTGGACCCCTCCCATTTATTTATTTATCTGTCCAATTTATTTATATCAGTATGGATTGATGGATATTTATCTTGTCTGTGTTATAATCCATTACCATTATTTATTTTATAGCTCAAAGTGTACCAGATTTGGTCACTGGCATTTCCTTTAAGTTCTCTCCATGCCCTTTTGACATGCCCCCTATTATTTTTTTAGTATTTTCTTACCTTCTGGTATCACAAGATAGTCTAGGCTTATCTTGTATTTTCCCTGACCCAGCCCTGGAATAAATCTTTTCTCCAAAAGAACCCCCTTATTAGAGAATCTTATTTGGAAACAAGATTTAGACACTAGATGTCCTCAATGTTATTAGAGTGCCATAGCTCCTAAGGCCTTCTCAGATGACAGAGCTAGACAATATAGATCTGCATACTGAGAGAAACAGAAAGTGTGGTGGTCCATTTTCAGAATAGTATTCAGCCTTAATTGGATCCAGTTGTAGCCCTTCCTTTTTGCCCACCCTAATTCTAAAATTAGCCAATTGTATAGACTGTAACCCAGAACTCCTCCAATCAGAGTGAAGGGCAGAACTGCATTAGATATAAGCAGGTGGACTGCTTGCTCAGGCACACTTGCTAGCCAGGTTCCAGTAGCTCATGGCCCTTCTGCCAGAAGTAAAGGTTTGCCTTGCTCACCCACTTCCAAGCATGTGTTTCATTTCTTGTGGCACTTGGTTGTTTCTAATAATACTCATGCACACACACACGCACGCACACACGCACACACACACACATTTACTCTATATCTATCTTTATCTGTATGTATACATATGTGAATATGTGTATAAATTTATACTGGCACTTTAGATTTCAATCCAACACCAAAGTGTTCTTTTTAGACTCAACTCTTATTTGTATCTCCTTTCTCCAACAGTGAGATACTTGGCTGGCATAATCCACAAAATATATATTGATTTGCTCAGTTTTGGTATACATATAAAATAATTTCAGAATTGCTAGTTCATTTCCTTGTAAAAATAAAGTTACTAATTAGGGTACAATATTTTTAAACAATTCTTTCTTCTTTTAGCTTTACCCTGTTGCTTCTGGCAGTGTCGCTCCCAGAGGAGTTCCTGGGTCAGGATGGGATCTCAGGCCTCTATGTTACTGAGGAATGAAGAATTGGAGGCAATTAAGAAGGAGACTGGCTTTTCCCATAGTCAGATTGCCCACCTCTATAGACGGTTCACTACCTTGGACAAAGAAGAGAGTGGATCTCTCAGCCGGGAAGATTTCCAGAGGATTCCAGAACTTGCCATCAACCCTCTGGGAGACCGGATCATCAGTGCCTTCTTTCCAGATGGAGAAGATCAGGTGAACTTCCGTGGATTCATAAGAATCTTGGCTCATTTCCGACTCATTGATAATGATGTAAAGAACAAAGATGTGATTGGATCCGAACCACTCAATAGCCGAATCAACAAACTACGCTTTGCTTTTCAACTATATAATTTGGATAAAGATGACAAGATCTCCCGCAGTGAGCTGTTACAGGTGTTACACATGATGGTTGGAGTGAATATCTCAGATGAGCAACTGGGCATCATTGCAGACGGGACCATCCAGGAAGCTGATCAGGATGGAGATGGAACCATATCTTTCACAGAATTTGTTAACATTTTAGAGAAGGTGCACATCAAGCAGAAAATGAGCATTCAATTTCTTGATTAAAGCAGTGAATCCAAATTGTTCCCTGCTCTCTAGTACTTAAGCTAGACCTTGAGAACCCTCTGTCTACCAGCCCCACTTCTACCCTATCATTGCCCTCCCCCCAAATACTGCTGTTGGCTGTATGACAACCTGAGATATTCTCTATCAACACAAAACTGCCTTTGGTGTGAAGAGGGTGTTATGGAATGTCTCTTCAGTATGCATTCACTGATGCTCCACTTCCAAATATCATCTCCCTTGTCCTATTGCTGAATGCCAGATGTCCATTTGGTCTGAGAAAATGAGGGGAGTAACTACGCCGAGAACCAAACAGCCAAGCTCTTTCATGGGATGTGGACTATAGCTACGTTGCCTTCTCCAACAAGCCTTTGGCATTGCCTCCAACTTTTCCCATGTGTTCTCTGCTTCCTGCTTCTTTGTCACCCAACCTACCCTTTGCTGGTTCTTTCAGTCTCCTTGATTTTTATTAGCTCTCCAATTCCCACTGATTGATGTGGCACCCCAACTTATGCATATTAAATATGTTTCTAACTTGGCAATATACTTCTATGGTCTGCAAGTTTTTATTTACCTTTGCTCATAAATCAGTCTCTAGGATATTGCCTCCCCAAGGGCTTTTCAGGAATCAACTCTTCTTTGGGAAGAATGTAACCTCTGTTCCCTGCACTCTCTTCTGTCATCAAAGGATTGTTTGATGGAGATGGTCTTCTTGGGAGGTAAGGTATGGAGCCACATTTTCTAGGTGGCTCACTCAGGTTACTCTTACTCCAGCCTCTGAGCCTCTACATGCACACCTATGTGGCAAACCTTGTTACTGCACTGTAGATCCTTCAGAAAGCAGCCATGTGAATGCCGGTTTGTTGGGGGCACCATCACCACCAGAACTGCTGCTCTGACCATATTCTTGGGGACTTTCTCATGGGTTTTTGAACAAAGAGGCTGGACACCCTAAAAAGCATCCTGCTTTGACCCTTCAGTGTTATGGGCACTGGAATTCTTTTCACTTCATGTTCCCAAGTAGATTACTGCTAAGCAAATGCCCAATTTGTCCTGTCTGAGATTTCAAGATTGTCTTCCATATCTTTAAGACTTTCACACTTGGCAAATGACTATGCTGGAAGCTGTCATTGGCTCCAAAAAGAAGTCCAAAGCATCAAATGTATTGTAGTTTAGCTGCCTGGTTACAATAGCTTCCTAGCTCCTTGTGTAGATTACTGCTAATCTCTTAGAAACATGAAATTTGGAATTAGTGGCACAATCTGAGGTGGAACAAGCCTTTGAGCAAGCCAGAGTAGCTTCTTTGCCAAAGTCAACTAAGTTGATTCAGGCTGTTGACATCCCAAAGTCTGTCTATTTAAGTCTCTTCATTTGTGTATCTGCCCTTGGCCATCTTTTCCCTGACCCATTGCTTACTTGCTTGCTTAGGAAGGAAAATGTATACACAATTCTTAAGGAAGGGAATGGCTAAGGAATACCACTGCAAAGGGATGAAGAATGGATGGAGACCAGGGAAAGGGATAGCCAGGCAGGATGACTTGAGTATAAATGAATGAAGAATTCTTTTTGAAGTATCACTCTGACTTTGTGATCAAGTCATATAGGGATTGTATAAAAGGGAAGAATTGTCTAATAGTCATCTGTTAGTTACCTCACAGGCTCTTTAACTTATGTATGTACAGTTCTTGAGTTTACAGCTTTCACTCTTTTGGCTGTATAGAAAACTATTTTAATCCATGGTTGTGTCTCATTGTTTCACTTAAAATGGTATCCATGGATCCATCAACGAAACAAAAATACTGATTTCCAAAGTTATTAAGGTTAGCCATCTTCTGTAAGGTGGTTATGTTATTTATGTTTAGTTTGGCTTATTTGTTACTATTTATTTTCAACCTTGGGGTTCTCCTCACATTCTGACTGATGTTATTTATTTATGGGGGATATTATAACATTACCTGGCTCTAATGAGCCACACAAAAAATATACTCAGAGAAATGACACTCCTTCTTGACACTACTACTAACCCATTACCATTCCCTCATTCTTTTTTTTTTTTTTTTTTTTTTTTGGTACCAGGGATTGAGCCCAGGGGCACTTATCCACTGAATCACATCACTACCCCCTTTTAAAATATATTTTATTTAGTGACAGGGCCTTGCTGAGTTGCTTAGGGCCTAGCTAAGTTGCTGAGGCTGGCTTTGAACTTGCGATCCTCCTGCTTCAGCTTCCTAAGCCACTGGAATTACAGGTGTGAGCCACCTTGCCCAGCCAGTTCCTCATTCTTACTAACCTATCCCTATCTACCTCTTGTAGGCAAATCAGTGTCATTAGTTTCTAGTTTATCCTTCTTGCAGTGGTCAATTTGCTATGCTTGTTTTGAAAATTCGAGTTTGTTCCAATGTGATTGATATGTTAAGAGAATGATTTGAGCATAATGTGAATTTCACATTTGCTTATGCATGATTTCATACATCAGAAACTCTAGATGAATGCAGGAACTGCACCCAGCTGAACTATCCTGTGTGAGAATACAACACTCGTGCACACACAACATGCACCCCAACACACTTCAAATATCTATCAGTACCCCAGTTCACCCTGTATTAGGATCCCATTCAAGCCTGGTGTTAACAACCTTCCCTTCAATTTCAAATAACCCTCCTTCCACTGCTTCCCAGTAACTGACAACTGCAGCCCCTCTGATGCTCACTCCATAAGCAAACTTCAGGGTTTCTTTTCTAGGTGAAGTGCCAATTTACTACAGTGTTTGTGGTTTATGTATTTTCTTTTCTCCTCCCCCACTCTTTCTTTATTCTGGGGATTTAACCCAGGGGTGCTTTACCACTAGCTATATCCTCAGTCCTTTTTATTTTTTATTTTGAGACAGGGTCTCACCAAGTGGCTTAGGGTCTTCCTAAGTTCCTAGGCTGGCCTTGCCTCAGCCTCCCAAGTTGCAGGGGTTACAGACATGTGCCACCACATCTGGTTTATTTATGTATTTCTTAATAATTTACCATGATTTCTACTTATGTGTATTTGGAAAGAGAGGGGGGAGGGAGGGAGAGAGGGAGGGGAGAGGGAGGAGGGAGGATGGAGGGAAGGGCCAGAGGGGGTGAGGTATGGAAGTAGTCTTTTAGTGTTGTGCCCCTAACTGCTTTCCCCATAAGCCTTTGATTTTTATTGTGTAGTTTTGCATAGTGGGAGATTTTTAGGGATGCATAGGTTGTATTATTGCAGAACTGATTCTATTCTTTTACGCAAACAAGTAGACACCTGTTTGTTTTCATGTACCCTTCTTTCTAACGTGAAGGATTGCATAGGATAGACACTCTTGGTTTTGCCTTTTTCACAAAACAGTATGTCCTAGAAATCACTTCATATTAGTTCATAAAGATCTTTCTTGCTAATTTATAGCTCCATTTGTGTGTATATCATGTTGTTTACTTCATCACTCTGCTATGTACACACATTTTGGTTGTTTCTAATATCTTGTAATTGTAAACAGTGGTGCAATAAATAAACTTTTTGTATTATTGGAAGTGTATTTTTAGTGGGATTGCTGGGGCAAAAAGAAAGTATATATGTAGTTTTGTTAGATTTTGCCAAATTGTCCTCCAGATAGGTTGAACTGCAAATGGTAGACCAGTAATGTATGAGAGTACCTGTTTCCCTAGGGTACACCAAGAGAGCATGTTGTCATATCGTTTTTGTCATATTGTTGTAATATTAATTTTTGCCTATCTAATAGGTGATAAATGGTATGTCAGTATTATTTGCATTTCTAATTATAAGTGAGTTTGAACAATTTTTATTAAGTTTAAGAAATATTTTTAGCTGGGTGTGGTGGCACATACCTGTAATCCTAGAGGCTGGGAGGAGGATTGTGAGTTCAAAAGTCAGCCTCAGCAACTTAGGGAGGCACTTAGTAACTCAGTGAGGCCCTGTCTCTAAATAAAAATAAAAAAGGGCTGGGGATGTGGCTCAGTGATTAAACACCCTGGGTTCAATCCCAGGTACCAAAAAAAAAAAATTATATTTTTCCTGAATTGTCTATTTACATCTTTCCGCCATTTTTTTTCTCCTAGATTTTTGCTCTTCATCCCTCAATTTTTCAGAGTATTTATCCATTAGAGATATTAGCCTTTTTTCCATTGCACACATTTCTCCCAGTTTTCCAGTTGTATTTTTACATTGTTTATTGTGTTTGAGAATGCAAAAAATATTTATTATTCAAATTTATCAAGCTTTTCCTTTATTGCATCTGTACTTTGAGTGACTTAGGAAGGCTTTTCCTAGGCTGAGGTCAAAGAGTAATTAACCATATTTTTTTTCTAGTATGTATATGGTTGCATTTTTTTATACTTAGGTCCCTGATCCATTTGGAATTTAGTTTTGTTTATGGTGGGAGGTATGCATCTAATTAAATGGTTCTTAATGAGGTATGATTATAGCTCTCACAGAGAACATTTGGTGTCTGGGGACACTTTGGGTTGTCACAAGTCATGAAAGGAACACTACTGACCTCTAATGGGTAGAGGCCAGGGATGCTGCCCAATATGGCACAGTGTATCGGGCTGCTAAGAATTATCTGCCCCCAAATGTCAATGGGCTATCATTTGTGTAATTGATACCCTGCTGCCTTACTGAATTATTTTATTGCTTGAATTAGTTTTATCATTGATTCTTTAGGATTTGGGGGTATACTGAAGCCAGAATTAGACAGTCAATATAGATAGGTAAATCAAGTCAAGTCATATCAAGGAGGCCAATTTGAGTGAGTCCAGGAAGTTGGAGAGGGATTGAAATGCTAATGCCTTCAGAGCCCTTCCTCCACCCTTATCAAGATAACCCGCCCCTGCTACAACCAGTTGCTAAGGTAACCTGAATCAGGGATTGTCCCTCCCTACAGGGAGTTGTCAATTATGCCCCTTCTGGCCCAGATCACACTACCTTGGCCTCTCCAGCCCCTGTCTTTCTCACTTTTTGACCATCCCATGGAGCAT